CAGTACAACTTCAAGCGTATTCGCATCGAAAAAAGAATCAAACGTGCTCTCAAAGATGAAACGCATGTCAGCCTAGTCCTTTCGGAGGCCTGTGCACACGCTGGCGACAACAAGGTTCCACAGCGAAGACGTAGACTTGGTCCGCTGCTTCGACGAGGTTGTCGCCAGCGTGCACAGGCCTCTGAGAGTTTCGTCAGGCAGTTGAGGTGGGTTGTTTTAAACTTTTCGTTCACATAACATGGACAGAAGGCGGAAAACAGTTGCTGCGCCATCGCACATTGCCCGTATAGACTGTCTCCGATGCCTCCACCGTGCTTCGGTACCAACAACGCTTGCCAACATTAAAATGGCGACACTCTCAGTGTTGTCAGACCACAAAGCAATTTCGCATAAGGTCTATTAATGAATGTAAGGGCACGTTTTTGGAAGAAGCTGCTCGTTGGATGTGATGACAAGATGGATGTGGTGACACGATGGATGTAACGGCACGATGGATGTAATGACACGCTTTTGGATGAAGTGTCTCGATGGATGTGATGGCGCGGTGAATGTAATAACACGATGGATGTAACGGCATGATGGATGTAATGGCACGTTGGATGAACTGGCCAAAAATGGATGTAATGGCACGATGGATGTGCTGACACTATGGATGTACGGGCACGATGGATGCAATGGCACGAAATTGGACGTATTGGCTCGATGGATGTAATGGCACGATGGATGTGTTGGCCCCAAACCCTGTGCTGCGACCAGCGGGGCTTCCGTAGATTTCGTCCGCGACGACGCATTCGAGTGTACCAAGATTTCCAGTGCTTGAAAAGTCCTACGCGTATATCGGCAACAAGCGAGTTCTTCAGAAAAGCTCAAGGAATTCATGTGATGAGTTTAGTGCTCGGTTCGGCAAACTACTGCTTCTGCTACATTGTGTTGAATCTTCACGGACCCCTTTCCTTTCGTTTTTGTGTTTGTGTTGTTCTGCAGTGCCCGTGTCGACATATATTTCGGATTACATATTTCGAGTCTGGTGTTTCCATCGTAAGTGCTCTGCAACTTACTCCTTTGCAAAAATTGACCGTTTTGTTCCGGATTACCTCTAGAATTAGGCAGTGTCTATTTTCTAGCTGCCGGGAGGATAATTTCCCCAAAATTCTTTCGGCAGTCGCCTGCCATTAGTTGACTGCAATCATGTGACAACCGCAGGTAGAATACTGACTTTCTTATTCTGCTGGCGTTTTGTGAAAACACGTTTTCGTTGATACACGTTTAGTAGATACGTTTCATCGACACTAAAGTTTCATCGTCACTGGTAACGCTAAATGCACGCTGTAGGGACATTTTGCCGCGCGTGTATCTCTGAGGCGCGTGCTCACCGACCCAGCCCACCGGTTCACGCCGCTTCGTGGCGACACTCTGCGGCGGCTCATTACGAAAACGTTAACCCACCTGTCCCACCCGTACATGTCACTTCGCGGATACATTCTGGGGCGGCTCATTACAAGAAAATAAAGGAGAGAAGGTAATGCAGAAAAGCTAATCTGAGCTGTCGATGAAACGTCGTTCGATGAATGAAGGGCGACTGCCGGAGGAATTTACTGGAAATAATTCTGGCGGCTGCTTGGAGAGTAGACACTACCTAAGACTCACCCCCGGTTCTTGTTTGCTTAGTAATCTTCTCAGTTGTGTAACAGCTTCTTCGTACCTCTTCACATATCACGGATTGCTTGCAAGTTTGTATTTGTTTACGAAATAAGCTGTCTAATAAACTTCTATGAGATTTGAAATGAATCCCGTGTGTCTGTTTACCTGCCTTTTTGCAATCACCGGGGCGCATACATTGTTTAACGGTTTCCTTGATGTCTTAAGGAGGTTTATGAAGTTAGTTATCAAGCGCGTGCATAAAGTGGTATGACCATGCACCTTTGAATCGGGTGCACCTGTGTTCTCTTCGAATTCAGTGGGTGTAGAAAGAGGTGTAACAATACACTATTGAACGGGGTGCTTCTGTGTTCCCTTTGAGAGTGTAGGTGTAGAAAGGAGAGTAATGGTACACTATTGAGCGGGGTGCATCTGTGTTCCCTTTGAGTGAGGGGGGTTTATGAAGCGGTGCAATGGTACACCTTCGAACGTGGTGCATTTGTGTTCCCTTTTATTTCATTGGGTGTAGAAACAGGTGCAGCCGTACACCATTGAATGGGGTGCACATGTGTTCCCTCCGAGTGAGATTTCTGTAGAAAAAGGTGTACATGTGCACCACACCAACGGGCGTACATACACTCCCAGATTTGAGGTGTACAAGTGTTCCCCCAAAGGGGGAACACTTGTTCCCCCCTTTGGGGGAACAAGTGACAAGTGACATGTGACAAGCACTGACATCCCCTTTGGGTGTAGCCCATGACACCGATTTTTTTAGAGTGTAGTATAGCTATCCCAAGGGCATTGTAAGTTGTTACATTTTCTCCCGTGCTATGATCCTTGATTGCGATCGCCTAAATATGCACCAGCAGGGTTCTGCTGTATTTCACAAAGTGTTTGAATGTGCAAGAGCTCATTCGCGTTGCCTCCTCACGGAGAGCAACGGAGCCTTTACGCGCTCGTTTGTTTTAACTCCGGGATTAAAAAAAAAAAAAAAAATGAGTCCGCGGCATCTGTTGTCCTCAGTTTGTTTTGTTTCTTTTTTGTTTTTTTGTGTGCGACACAGTTTTTGTGCTTGACGTAACCTGAAATGGAGAAAGATTTGCGCAGTATGGGCCATCTCGTTGAGTGTGGCCCGTGCAGCTGTTCAGGTGCCGCCGTCTGCCATCGTGCACAGAGCGTGCACGACTCTCTAGTTTCACTGCTTCAATTGGGATATGCATCTTATTTATATTTGATGGCCCCCCCCCGAAATTATCATTTAAAAACCTCCTACCAATCGAGAAGAAAAAGACTACCGCAGTAGTCAAAACCCCAACTACATCTAACTTTATTTTTCAAGCACTTTGTTTGCGCCGCTTGAGGAAACTCACAACATAGAAGTAAAAATCGCACGTAAGCGATTTGACGAGCGACGAGACAAGCGACGGCGACCCACTTCGCTATCGCGCGGTCAGTCGCGTGACGAAGCAAACCGCATGAAGGCAACGGGAGCAAGCGGCCAACGCGAAGAGCGACATTTTCTAGAAGCGTCGCTCATCGCCCGCAAATGGTCGCCCGCCCCTGGCGCCGGCAGAATACCCACTATCTTTCTGGACATCCGAAAACCAAGCGACGCGACAAGCGGCAGTAAAAAAATCTCCGTCGCTCGTCGCTGACTCGTCGCTTGTGCCGTCGCTCGTCTCGTCGCTCGTCTCGTCGCTCGCCAAATCGCTTACATGCGGTTCAGTCTTGAGACGCGCGGGCCGATAAAGAGAACAGATATCGGCACGTAGCGATGCGCGCCGACACGAAGTGACGCTGAGAAGGAAGCGCGTTTGACGAAAAGCGCGTGGAGAGGTGCTCGCCAACGGGAAGAAAACTGTCACAAGATATTTCTCGAACGCGATTAGGCAAATCCGGGGCAAGGAAACTAACCAGGATTCTTGAACGGAACCTTAGAAGGACGCAATCAGAACCAAAAAAGGCTTACCTTATTCCTGTGGCAAGAGAGGAAAGAGTCAATTGGAGCTGTGCCCACGCCATCCAGAGCTGTTCATTCCTGCTCGCATGGTGCCTCGCCACTTATTTGTCGCTAATTCCATCCTTGGAAGCGGCATATCGGATCAATACGGGTTCTCTGTAAAAAGACCAACAGAAACGCAACAAACGTCAGCAGATGTATCCGCACTACGTAAATTCAGAGTTGATCGAATAGTAAAAGGTTTTTTTCGAACTGCAAATTAAACGCAGAAACAAAAAGTTAACGTAACAATATTACAAAAAAAAAAGAAAAAACGGAGGCGAAACAAACAACAACGAGTTCTAACAAACTAAGAAAGCAAAACAAATTTATTAAAAGAAAAATTTTATATGCGATACGAAACTTCCCCTGTCCGCTGTTTGCAAGGTTTGTACCACGTGGTTTGCAATTAAGGTTTGCCTCACTTGCGGCAGAAATAGTCCGATTTCCCTAAGCGTTCCACGGGCGTTACGCCGTCATAATTTTAATTCAGGAGGTAGGTGGCCGTACCATTCGTGCCGTCTCGTGTTCTACACGCGCACAGCTCCAGCGCGGTTGTCCCACGTGCTGAAAGACTAAAGTTCCCTCGATGCGTTGCGGCATCTCTACCGTAGTGAAACTGGCTGGTGAGATCGGTTTATTGGCCGGTATTGCACTGCCTCCGGGAACGTAGCTCAGGCGCTAAATTGACAATAGGACGACTATTAGAACTTCAGATTGGGCGAGTTGCTCATGTTGGTCGACGTTGCAGTGCGCTCAAAAAACGGTCACTCAATCTTTCACACACACAAGAAACAAAACTCTCACACAGCGCTCACTAACAACTTTCTATTGCATAATTAACTTCTACTTTTACTTCGAGTCGAGACAAAATGTTTGCCTCTTATTTATATTTTTTTTTTGAAAGTCGTCTCAAATTGAAGTAGAAGAATAAGTTAACCGCGCAATACAAAGTTGTTAGTAAGCGCTGTGTGAAAGTTTTGTTCCTTGTGTGTGTGAAAGTTTGAGTGACAGTTTTTTGAGTGCTATAAATATACTTACTATAAATGGACGATACCCAAATTGTATATAGATAGTTCTAAAAAACGCTAAAGGGTTCTTTTGCTATTTGATCAACATTTTAGCGCCTACCACGTCAGTGCCAAAGGTCGATAAAGGGGTGATAAAGATTTCATAAAATTTATGCGAGGGCGATGAAATGGCTGTTGGGACGATAGAATACCGATCAGATGTCCATAGAATGGCGGTGGCCATTTTTATAGGGGTGACGTCCAGAGAGCTCTTATTGCACCCTTTTCCTCGAATGTTATTAGTAGTTGCGCATTTTGATTGTAATAAGAACTTATTTTTGTTTTTATTTCAGGACGGAAAAATGCACCTCAAGATCGTTGCAATGAATGGCGGCAGTGTCATTGGGTGCACGGAGCTCGACTTCAACATCACGGAAAATTAAGACGCAGTAAAACAAAAGTTGGAAGCACGAAACCGAATGACATCACTGGAAGCATGGCGTGTGTCGTGGTCCGAAGCTGCCATGCTTGCCGCTTTTTTAAAAATTTGCTTATTATATCTACTTTTAAAGTTTATGACTTTTTGTATTTTATGCAGTTCTAAATATAATATTGCTGTTCTAAATATAATATTTCTTTAAACTAATGAGGTGGGGTCGCCTGTTTTTCAACCTAATGCCTCCTTCGTTCTCCTGCTCGGAAATAAAAATAAAAACTTTCTTTATTAACTTTACGACAGTTGTTGGCTTTCTGTTCACCTGAAAATGCTGGTCCTCTGGATTCTTTCCAACGAATATATTCCTCTTCATGATGGGTTAAAGACTCGTTGAGGCCCGGCAGTGGCCCAAACAAAGCAGTATAGAACATTTTCCATCAGCTAAAAAGGATGCAATCTGGTGTCAATTCTTTCTTGTCTGAAACACAATGTGCCGAGGGCACGTAAGAGCAGCGTAAAATAAGACGGACGCAGTAAGGACGTGTAAATGTTAAAAATTTCTCCTTTGAACAAACTCTTCTAAAAAAAAGAAGAAAAACTTACGGCAAAAAAATTACTCCGAAAGAAACGAACTAGGCGAAAATCGCGAAAAAATGTGGTAATAATTTTATGGAAACTAATAAAAACTATATTCAGACAGACGTCTTATGAATATATTGGGGAAAGATCACGATTATAACTTAGCCTGAAAATATTTTGGATTGAAAATTGAACATAATCAATCGAATCAATAAATCATTTCGCCGATCAATCCGCCGACACATTAATAATCAATTAACCAGATAACATATTAATGAAGCAAGCAGTCAACAAAATAACTAATAAATTAGTCAGTCGATCGAATATTTAATAAACGAATGAGTAAGTCAATCAATCGTGTCTTTATGAGCCTTAAAAAATCTCTGACACGCCAAAAAAAAATTTTTTTTCATGCTAGGCGTTGAAATGGCATGTAAGGACATTACAAATAAATTGTTTCACTATAGAGTTGCGTAGTTTTTTTTTTCATGAAAAATGGAAATACGAGGCCCAAAGGAAAGTTCCCGCCAGTGCACTGTGACGTAACAGTGTACCGCAAGGTGTCGGGGCGGTCAGAAGGGAGGCATCGCCGGAAGTCACGTGAGTTGTATTGCTCCTCGTGCTTACCGCCAACGCGTGTAATATTTTTTTTAATATTTTTGTTATTCCCCGCACCTCCACGAGCGATCCAAGCGGACAAGGTTTCTTTTATTTGCTTTTCATGGCTTAATGTTGCTGTAAAGGTAGAAGAGGAGGAGTCAGTGAATTGACGTGATCAACTACAATGCCTAGGAGGTGCTGTGTGAGGGACTGTCCCGGTATTTCAGCAACTGAGGAAGAGATCACACTGCGTGCTTTTCCGAGAGACGGCAGGCATCTTCAGCCTGGAGAGTATACGATGATTCGACGACCTCGGTGTCCGAACCTTCAGCAATGCAACTGGGCATGTCGTACGCTAGCAATTCTAATTTCTGCGAGCGTTCTAAATTTTTTTTTTCAAAACTTGATAGCTTCTTTTGTGCCCAGTATAGCTCTGTATCATCGGATTAACTTCATGAACTCGTACACTGGCTTGAACTCGCAACGTTTTCAGCATTGACCTCCATCACGTCGATCCACTGACTTTTCGTCCTCAACATTTACAGCACGCAAACTAACCAACGGTGCAGCGATAAAAAGCTAGTGGAACTGAAACTTGGTTTTCTACAATCGCTCGTGCAAAGAGCAGAAAAAAAAGAAGTCTTAGGCACGGTCGCGGAGAGCACGAGGAGTGAAACTCACGTGACTTCCTGCGAACCCACGTTTAGTGACGTAGGTCGATGCTTCCCTTCTGACCGCCCCGACACCTTGCGGTACACTGTTACGTCACAATGCACTGCCGAGAACTTTGAATCGGGCCTCGTATTTCTATTTTTTATAAAAAAGAACTACGCAAATCTATAGTGAAACAATTATTTTGTAATGTCCTGACATGACATTTCAACGCCTAGCATGAAAAAAAAATTGTTGGCGTGTCGGAGGCCTTTTAAGAGTAGTACGTAATGCTTTCCATGTAACGATATTTTGTGGTCTTAAGAGCAGTGCACAATAGTCCCCTGGTACGATAATCCTTTTTGGTAAACAGGAATTTTCAGTGCAGCAAAGCGACAATATTGTCGCGGAAGGGAAATACTGTACCCTCAGGGCAATCAAATTTGGTGTGATACGTCGTGCCATCTATCTCAAAATATTTGCAACACTGGGGAGGCCCTTTCGCCAGCCTGCTTGCTCGTTGGGTTGTTCACGCATCAGTTTGAAGGTGTTGATTCGTGCGTTTTTTGTCTTTTACCCTTACAAAAAATTGTTATGCTTTTCTGTTGAAAAGTTGTTCAAAAAAGTCAATAGAGGATATAGAATGTCAACAGCTTTTCTGTTTACTTTCTTTTGAATATTGGCCCACTTTTCTAATGAAAGTCAACAGACTTCCCGTTATGCTTTTCTGTTGAAAAGCTGTTGAAGAAAGTCATCCGAGGATATAAAATGTCAACAGCTTTTCATCTGACTTTCTCTGGCTTTTCTGTTGACTTTCTTTTGAATATTGGCCCACCTTGTAATAAGAAAGTCAACAGACTTTTTGTCACCTCCAAAATGCTTTTTCTGCAGCTTTTCAACTGAAAAGCTACAGAAGACTAAAAAGAAAAAAAATGCTTTATAGATTAGCTATTCATTCAACAATGTTTTCGAAGCTTATTATGGCTTTCCACTGCTCCAAATTAGCTGCAGCAAAATAAAGTAAAAAAACGCGAATATTTTTTATTAAATGGTGTCCCTGTGGTATTTGAAGTCACTATTACGTAGACCCCACAACTACACATTAGGAACGAACACAAACACCACAAACACAAACACAGTAGGAACGAACACAGAGCACTGAACACCTGACTTATTTTTTTTTATTTGCACTGAACACCTGAATCACAGACCCATTGACTGCCCCAGAGCCTTATATAGCCTACATATTGAAGCTAATTATTTGGCCGGTGACCCCCTCAGCATTAAGGTTCCAGGTATTTGAACTTCTCCTTGGGAGTCTGTCAAAGGGAAAACAGTCTTTCGAAGTTCGTGGACGATATTTCTTACTAAAAAGCATTGGTACTACTAATAATAATTCGGCACAGTTGCTAAAACAACATCCGCAAAAACGTCTCCTATAAAGAATATTATGGCTTCTCTGCATAGCACCACTCAGGACGAAGCGAGTCAAGGCAGTTTCTCCACTTTCGAATAATTATTTTGCTTTTCTTTGCTAGTTGACTATTCAATATGGTCATTAAAGTCACTATGGTCACTTAAACAGTCAGAACGGCAGGGCATGCCTTTCGAGCTCCTGGCCTCCACGACGGAAGGCCCCATGCCTACCGTCGAGCTTTGACTGCACGCGCGCGCTCGAGGTGCGCGAACGCCGAAGTGTTGTCAAGGGTAGTGGGCTGGCGCTGAAGGCGGGACAACTGAAGCTGCTTTCCGTTCTCACCTTGTCAAAGACTATTGAAAAACTTTGCAACTTTTGACAATTAGTCGCAATGTACAATGTTCAATAAAAAGTCAACAGAAAGTCGCTTTTCTGATGACACTGGCTACAGAGAGTCAACAGAACATTTTCAACGCCAAGTAAACAGAACGTCTGCAGTCATTTTGATGACACTGTCAACAAAAAGTCAGCAAAAAAAAAATCAACATAAAGTTAATAGAAAGTCAACAGCTTTTTCTTTGATTCAGGCTGAAAAAAGTCATAAGAAAAGTTTAAACACAAAGTCAACAAACATTCTGTTGATTATGTCAACAGAAAGTCAGCAGAAAAAAATCAACACAGAGTTAATAGAAAGTCAACAGCTTTTTCTTTAACTCAGGCTAAAGAAGGTCATCAGAAAAGTTTCAACACAAAGTCAACAAACTTTCTGTTGACCATGTCAACACAAAGTCAAAGTCAAAAGGAAGTAATCAGAGTCAACAAGAAGTCAACACATTTTCAATAAAAAGTCAAAAATCATTTATATAGGGGTATTCGTAATATTTCAATCGGATGTCGCAGAAAAGCAAATGTCGAAGCCGTACTTACTGTTGCGTACTGGACTGTCGCAACCCCGGAAGCTTAGTAGGCGTGGAGCTCCACAGGTTTCTGTCGAGGCCGTAGAAAATACAACACCGTCGGAGATGAATATATGCCATAAAACAGGTAAAATAAGCACTCTGTTTGCATTGCCCGACTTGAGATAGATTTTTAAAAGCCGGTTGCACCAACGCCGCTTAGCTGAAAGCGGTGCTTCGCCGGGATCCTAAGCTAAGTTTTGGTTTCGTTCGTTCGCACTAAAATCGCTTATCGCAAAACCTAACACTAAACTACGATTATCGTGAACGCTCCACATTGGGCGCTTTGCTTTTGATTGTTTCTTAATCCTGGATTTAAAACATGGCGGCTAGTTTGTGGCGGTCGACGCGGTGGACGAAATTGGTTGCACAAAGTGTTTTAGGCTACAACAGAGTGAGAGTCTCGTCAGAATGACCTTCGATTGCGACAAGAATGCAAAATAGTGCCGAGTGAAGTGTTTATCGACTCCGGTTGTCAGGTGCTCTCCACTTTCAGTGCGTTTCAGCCCTTACCGAGATACGTACGGAGCTGTGGTGCTCACGTCTGTCTTCCCCCAGGTTATTCTATCAACGAGCTTATTCGTATGTACTTACTGATTTTCACATAACTGTAAAGTATTGTTATTTACCACCTTGTTTATTTCTACTTGCAACGCATATCCTTCATTCCGATCGGCGCGTTGAATAGTGGCAGTACTTGATCTTGGCGGTCAGCTGATTGTCGACGCCTCTGCCGTTTGCATCATATTGCGGAGCTTTTGAATAATAAAACAGCGCAAATTCAATTTATTTCGTTTCCTAAGT